GTTATTGAATATAAAACTACATTAAGGGAGACCAAGATGGCAGCATAAGGTACAGACCTGTGCGTGCTGCCTCCCACAAGAGCTTTGAAAATACAGTGGGGCCTTGACTTATGAATTTAATTTGTTCCGTGACAGAGCGCATAACTCAAATTACTTGTATGTCAAATCACTGTGACGTTCGCTGCGCCAACTAGCAGTGGGGTATCTGAAGCTGGCTCATAACCTGAATTTTTTAAAATATATTTTATTGATTTTTTACAGAGAGGAAGGGAAAGGGATAGAGAGTTAGAAACATTGATGAGAGAGAAACATCGATCAGCTGCCTCCTGCACACTCGCCACTGGGGATGTGCTTGCAACCAAGGTATATGCCCATGACCGGAATCAACTTGAGACCCTTGAGTCCACAGGCCGACGCTCTATCCACTGAGCCAAACTGGTTAGTAACCCGCATTTTTCTGAGCTTGCAACTCAAAGCAAAATATCAGCCGAGAGATGGCTGGTATCTCAAAAAAACTCCTTAGTCCGGACACTTGTAAGTCAAGGCCCCACTGTACCAACTATAAGACAAAACAGCTATCTTTCAGAACCATGGGAAAGCTGGCCCAGTGGAAGTTCTACAACAGGAAGGAAAGAAAGAAGAGCATTGAGACTGAGTAGGATATACAGAAGCGCCAAGAACAGAGATATGGAGTCGCACCAGGCGGGCTGCAACTGGATGCGGGGTTTTTTTTCATTCGAAAGGGGTTACAAAAACTCGAAACCAATGATCTTGTTTGGGGCGGGATTCTGAGGTCCCAGACCCCTATGGGGAGAGGCGGGACGGCCTTGCAGCATGTCGGAAAGCGAGTGTGGCTTTCTCGCGGAGCTGCTCGCCAGTACTCAGGGATGTGGAGTTGCTGAGAGGCGAGGAGCCGCGGAGACGACATTGCTGTTTGTTCCCCCATGGTGACTCCCTGAGATCGCACCCTACTCAATTTTCATCCCCACCCAATCGGTGCCAGAGGCACAAAAGGAACCACATGGGCTTTTGCAGCTTAACCCAACAAACTGCAGATTTCAACTCCTCACACCCATAAGGGACACACTCAAGAAGCAGAATCAGGTTCAGAGGAAGCTGTACCCAGACCCGGCTGGGCCGGCAACATGGAACCGCTGTACCAGCAAACGCACTAACAGCTTCACCAGATCCAGTGTCACATGGGACGCCGGGAGACGGCAGACATGCAGTCTGTGCACTTAGTAGAAAACAAAACCCAAGCAAGGATACCAGATATTCAGCCAGCAAGAATACCTGGAGATTTTGTCCAGCAAGGAGCCGCCCAAGAAAAGACAGAATGCCAAACTTCCTGTTGCTGATTCGGCACCTGTGAAGCTGAGCCAGCCCGTGAGGGTGAGACGGCCCCCATGAGGCTGTGACCACCCCTGTGAGGCTGAGACCGCACCGGTGAGGCTGAGATGGCCCCTGGGAGGCTACGACGGCCACTGGAAAGCTGAGAAAAATACCACATGATCTCACTCATTTATGGATAATAAAGACCATTATGAACTGATGAACAAAAATAGATACAAAGGCAGAGCAGCATTGAACAGACTGTCAAACTACAGTGCGAAGCCTGGGGAGGGTTGTGGGGTAAGAGTGCAACCAAAGGACTTATATGCATACATATAAGAATAACCAATGGCCGAAACCGGTTTGGCTCAGTGGATAGAGCATCGGCCTGCGGACTGAAAGGTCCCAGGCTCGATTCCAGTCAAGGGCATGTACCTGGGTTGTGGGCACATCCGCAGTAGGAGATGTGCAGGAGGCAGCTGATCGATGTTTCTCTCTCATCGATGTTTCTAACTCTCTATCTCTCTCCCTTCCTCTCTGTAAAAAATCAATAAAATATATTTTTTAAAAAAAAGAATAACCAATGGACACAAGACACTGGGGGGTAGGAGAGGCCGGGGGAATGTCAAGAGGGGGGGAAAGGAGCCATGTGGAATACTCTTTGTAATAATTTAAGAAGTAAAACAAAATTAAATTAAGAAAATAAAACTACATTAATTTCAAACATCTCACTTTTTTTTTTTAAAGGAAGGCACTCTGCCACGTGCAGCGCCTCATTTGGATGTGTCTGGAGTCTTGGAAGCTTGACTACCCTACATTCTCCTACAAATGGACCTTGAGAGCTTCTTTGGAGGTTCTAGCAGGGGAGCGCAGCTACTCGTATACCCTTGACCGAAGACCGGTCCTCACCTGGGGGGGGAAGGTCATCCTCTTCGACCGAGCCTGCAGCTTCGGGAGGGACCCACATGGATCGGTGAGGGAGGAGGGGGACACCCACCTAGCCAGCCAGATCAGCCGAATCAACCCTGGCGATCAATGGCGTGACAGATGTCACAGCCAGATCTCCCTCACATCCTACACCTCACATTTTTGAAAGGCAAATACATAACCAAGTTTGTTATTTCAATCCATTGTATTAAAATGGTAACCCCCAATGTATCAACTCAAACATTAAAGAAAACACAAGAACAATAAATATGGCAATCTCAACAGAAAAAAAAAAACACAAGCAGCCACAGGCTGAGAAAATATACTTGTAAAAGTCAACATGGCCCAACTGGCATGGCTCAGCACTTGATCGTTCATCTATGAACTAGAAAGTCACAGTTCGATACCTGGTCAGGGTGCAATACCAAGTTGTAGCCTCGATTCCAAGTACGGGATTTGCAGGAGGCAGCCGATCAATGATTATCTCTGATCATTGATGTTTCTATGTCCCTCGCCCTCTCCCTCTCCCTCTCTCTCTGACATAAATAAATCCTATATAATAAAAGTGGGATATGCAAATAGCTCAAAGGGCAGAAAAACCAAACAACCAAATGTAATATGCTAATGATATGCTAAGGCTGCTCAACCGCTTGCTATGACATGCACTGACCACCAGGGGCAGTCAACAAGTCTCTATGAAGTGCACTGACCACCAGGGGGCAGATGCTCCGAACGGTAGGTTAGCTTGCTAGTGGGGTCAGGCTAATTGAGACTGAGTGAGATGGGCTGGACATGCCCTGGAGCCCTCCGTCAGTCATTCCCCGGCCTGATTGCAGCAGTGGGGTAGCTCACCTTTGCCTGCGCCCTCTTGCAATCCAGGACCCTCGGGAGATGACGCAGAGCCGGTTTCAGCCGGATCCCTTGGGAGGGTGCAAGACATAGGGCTTATGGCTGGCAAGTGCTGCTGTGGCAGGACAAGCTTCTCCCAATAGGGACTGATTTGGCGTGAGCCCGCAGTTGGCACAGTGGGGCTGGGATGAGCAGAAGGGGCAGGTATGAGCTGCAGGCTGTGTTGGACTGTGGGTTTCGGCCTATTCTTTGCAGGCACCCAGAGGGAACCCACCTGTGCATGAACTTGTGCACTGTGTCTCTAGTACAATGATGGCGAACCTATGACACGCAAACTCATGTTTTTGGTTGATTTTTCTTTGTTAAATTGTATTTAAATATATAAAATAAATATTAAAATATAAATGTTTGTTTTACTATGGTGGCAAATATCAAAAAATTTCTATATGTGACATGGCACCAGAGTTAAGTTAGGGTTTTTCAAAATGCTGACACGCCGAGCTCAAAAGGTTCGCCATCACTGCTCTAGTATGTATCTTAATAATAATAAAAGGCTATTATGTAAATGGTCGTCAATCCCTCATGCCATAAGGACCGATCAGCAGGAGGTGCTACAGCTCCACTCGAGCCTCCGCCCCACCCGAACAGCCCGGGGCGCAGGCAGCATCTACAGAGAATCACAGTGTGCTGGCATTGTCCCTGGTGCATCACAGGGCGCCGGCAGCATCCACGGATGTGCGAGGGGTTGCAGGGTGGGGCACCAGCAGCATCCCCAGAGCGTGTGAGGCATTGTGAGGTGGGGCCTCTAGTATATTAAAAAAGTCAACATGTACAGGACAATTGTTGAAACACACAAAGAAGACATGGACAAAAGAACCAACATAAAAAGGGCCAAAAACCTTAGCCACTCGCCTGCCTGCCTGCCTGCCTGATCGCCGCCTAACTGCCCTCCCCTGCTGGCCTGATTGTCCACAACTAGCCTCTCCTGCCAGCCATCTTTAACCACATGGGGGCAGCGATCTTGTGTGAGGGCGTGAGGATCAATTTGCATATTACCACTTTATTATATAGGGTATATACGATATAGATAGGTGTTAGCAAAAAACATGAGTGATAGTCTACCTACTTCAGGAATACAGAGCTAAATATTTGCCAAATTCTGACGTCAGTCATTACATTAGTAAAATTGCAAACTACTGAGTTACATGGGAATGAGGGGCTGATGTGGGACAGGAAGAGCTTTACATGCTGTGATTTTAGCACTGCAAAATAAACGGCAGCCTAGAAGATAAAGTGAAAAAGACATAAATGAACATGAAATGTGACATGAAAGAAATAGAATTAATTTTTTTGAGATCAGTTAGCAGTGCAGCCTGGGAAAGGTGTCCTCTCTCCACATGCAGAGTTCATGCCAATTCTGCATCCTGGCTACATTATTGGTACTACATCACTGGTACAACCACATCACTGGTACTGTAATATATCTGTTAGTTATGGAAAACCAATTAGACAAACAGCACAGCTCTAAGTGTACTTCCCTTCACCTAAACGTCATAACCACAAATTGAAATGCCCTCATAAAATTTTCATCCCAAGAAGATGGCACAGAGAGGGAATTAACTTTAATATCATTTAAAAACATCAGAACTATTTTAAAAGATTAAATCAATAATATAATTCTCTAATACATCAAAAAATGTGTGCCTTACAATGTACCCAATATATCATAAGAAAGTGTACATAAGTAAAGTCCATATAATATACAACAGATCACAGATCTTTTAAAAAAAATATTTTTATTGATTTCAAAGAGGAAAGGAGATAAAAACATTGATGAGAGAATCACTGCTTGGCTGCCTCCTGCACGCCCCCTACTGGGGATCAAGCTCACAATCCAGGCATGTGCCCCTGACTGGAATCAAACCCTACAGTCTGCAGGCCAACGCTCTATCCACTGTGCCAAACCAGCAAGAGCCAGCTCACAGATCTTTAAGGCAGAAACAACCAACTCCATAATTTCACACACACACCAGGAATAAAATATAACAACATCAAGTGAGATGGGAGTAGGATCAAATTTCTCTTGAAAATACTTCATACGTTTTTAATTTAAATGAGATAACACTCTAAGTAATTGTACATATGGAAACATTAATTCTTTTGATATATTCAAGTATAGAAAACATTACCAAACTACATTTAAAGTTTGGAGTATACTGTAGTAAACATTCTGATGTAGAGCAATACCGAAAGGCATTTTTGCTACCTATCTAGTGTGAATTCAGTGATACATTAAAATTCATAAGCAATTACATAGTTGGATAAAGTTTTTACATCGTAAAGTCATTTTAAGGCATAAATTCCTTGGATTTTTGTAAACTACATATATATTTTAAAAGTCCTTCCTCCTCTATCATAAATATTGAACTTCTACCCAATTACAATCCCTGGTATTGACTGAGGCTGTAGGTCCCACTCTATGATCTCCCACATTCTTCACATTTAAGGTTTCCCTCTAGAATGAATTCCAATGTGAGGAATAAGCTACAGATGCTGATTAAAGTATGTAGGACACTGTTTAAATTTGTATTGTTTCTCCCCAGTATGAATTCTGATGTCGTGTAAGGTTTGCATACTAAGTAAGCTTTGTCACATTCTTTATATCACCTAGACTTTGATCCAATAATTACCAGATGTTGTATGACATACAAATAAGGATATACACTTTGACATATGCCTCATAATTTTTAAGGCTCAATTTTATCATTTTCAATGACGATTCAACCATGGTTAAATCTTTGGATGAAAACTTTATATTACTGCTGTTTCTCTTCAGAATGATTCCTAAAATGTTTAGTAAATTTGACCAAAGGCTAATGGCTTTCTCACATTTTTTACAATATAAGGATTCCCTCCACTATAAAATCTCTGATGTAAATTTTAAGCTATGGGTTAATGCTCTAGCCCATTCTATACATCTGTAAGGTCTCTTTTTGTTCTGATGTTGATCAAGTATAGTAATACATTGGTTTTAAAGCCTTTTCACATTTTTCACATTCCTAAGGCTTCTTTCCAGTATGAATTCTGTGATGTTCAATAAGTTCTCACAGCTGGTCAAGGACTTACCACACACCTCACATCTGTAAAACATCTCTCAATTATGAACTCTCTGCTGTACAGTAACACAGGAACACTGATAAATGGCTTTGAGACATTTTCTACATTTATAAGGCTTCTCTCCAGAATGAAATCTCCGATGCTTTGTAAGATCTGAGGAGCTGCCAAAGGATTTGCTGCATTCTCTACATTCATAAGGCTTCTCTCCAGTGTGAACTCTCTGATGACAAGAAAGGGATGAGGACTGGATAATGGCTTTGCCACATTCATTACATTTACATGTCTTCTCTCAAGTATGAATTCACTGGTGGCTGGTATGGTTTGAAGATCCAGTGAAGGCTTTGCCACATTCTCTACATGTATAAGGCTTCTCTCCTGTGTGAACCCTCTGATGATAATTAAGAGATGAGGACGTGGTAAGGGCTTTGGCACATTCATTACATTTATAAGGCTTCTCGAGAATGAACTCTCTAATGCATAGTAAGGTTTGAAGAGAAACCAAAGGATTTGCCACATTCTCTACATTAATAAGGCTTCTCTCCATGGAGAACTCTCTGATGATATATAAGGTGTGAGGACTGATTGAAGGCTTTGCCACATTCTCTGCATTTATAAGGCTTCTCTCCAGAATGAACTCTCTGATGCCTAGTAAGCCGTGAGGAGGTGACAAAGGATTTGGCGCATTCTCTACATTTATAAGGCTTCTCTCCAGAATGAAATCTCTGATGCGTAGTAAGCTCTGAGGAGGTGCCAAAGGATTTGGCGCATACTCTACATTTATAAGGCTTCTCTCCAGTATGAACTCTCTGATGATAATTAAGGGATGCTGCAAAACTGAATGCCTTGCCACATTCTTTACATTTGAAAGGCTTCTCACCAGTATGAACTCTGTGATGTTGATTAAGGGATGAAGAGTGGCTGAAGGCTTTGCCACATTCTCTACATTTATAAGGCTTCTCTCCAGTGTGAACTCTCTGATGAGATGTAAGCTGTGAGGAGTAGCCAAAGGATTTGGCACATTCTCTACATTTATAAGGCTTTTCTCCAGTGTGAACTCTCTGATGAGATGTAAGCTGTGAGGACTGGCTAAAGGCTTTCCCACATTCTCTGCATTTATAAGGCTTCTCTCCAGAATGAACTCTCTGATGCTTAGTAAGGTCTGAGCGGCTGCCAAAGGATTTGGCGCATTCTCTACATTTATAAGGCGTCTCTCCAGAATGAACTCTCTGATGAGAAGTAAGGCGTGAGAACCTGCTAAAGGATTTGCCACATTCTCTGCATTTATAAGGCTTTTCTCCAGAATGAACTCTCTGATGCCTAGTAAGATCAGAGGAGGTGCCAAAGGATTTGGCGCATTCTCTACATTTATATGGCTTCTCTCCAGTATGAACTCTCTGATGAGAAGTAAGGTGTGAGGACTTGCTAAAGGCTTTGCCACATTCTCTACATTTATAAGGCTTCTCACCAGTATGAACTCTGTGATGTTGATTAAGGGATGAAGAGTGGCTGAAGGCTTTGTCACATTCTCTACATTTATAAGGCTTCTCTCCAGTATGAACTCTCTGATGATAATTAAGGGATGATGCCAAACTGAATGCCTTGCCACATTCTTTACAGTTGAAAAGTTTCTCTCCAGTATGAACTCTGTGATGTTGATTAAGGAATTTAGAGTGGCTGAAGGCTTTCCCACATTCTCTACATTTATACGGCTTCTCTCCAGTATGAACTCTCCGATGATAAAGAAGGGATGAGGATTCAGCAAAGGCTTTGCCACATTCTCTACATTTATAAGGCTTCTCTCCAGTATGAACTCTCTGATGACAACGAAGGGATGAGGAGTCCCCAAAGGCTTTGCCACATTCTCTACATTTGTAAGGTTTCTCCCCAGTGTGAATTCTCTGATGAATTCTAAGTCTTGAGGAACACCTAAAGGCTTTGTCACATTCTGTACATTTATAAGGTTTCTCTCCAGTATGAACTGTTTGATGTCCTTTAAGGCTTGCGAACTCAATGAATGCTTTGCCACATTCGGTGCATTTGTAAGGTTTCTCTCCAGTATGAATACGCTTATGACGATTAAGGTTGGAGGGCTCACTAAAGGCTTTGACACATTCGCTACATTGGTAAGGTTTCTCTCCAGTATGAACTTTCTGATGTCGATTCATGTCTGAGGCTTGGCGGAATGCTTTGCCACATTCTCTACATTTATAAGGTTTCTCTCCAGTGTGCATTCTCTGATGAAGAATAAGGGTGGAGGGTAGTCTAAAGGCTTTGCCACATTGTGAACAGTTATACGTCTCTTCATCCCTATGATTTCTATGATGTTGAGTATGTCTTGAGGACTGACTAAAGCCTTTTCCATTTTCCCTGAGTTTGTAAAATTTTGCATTAGCATGAATTCTTCCCTTATGTACAATAAGAGATGAATGACATTTAAAGGCTTTGCCACATGCTTTACATTTGTAAGGCTTCTCTCCAGTACGAATTCTCTGATTTAGTGTACAACCTGAAGGCCAATTAGATGTTTTACCAGAATCTTTACATATATACTGTTTTTCTCCAATATAGATTTTTTCCTGTCCATTTATATTGTATATTTGACTGGAGATTCTACCACAAGGATTCCATTTGTAAGTCTCCTCCCCAGGATGAATATCACCTTGTCCACTGTAATTTGAAGACTGCTGAAAAGAGTGGACACAACTTCCTTGGTGTGTGTTTTCCACAATAGGAATAACCTGATGTATATTGTGAAAGGACATTTGGTCAAAGACATTTCCACTTTTACGATGGTCCCCTGTGAACTCACTTGTCCGATGATTAAGATATGACGCTTGCTTAGATTTTTTCCAATGTTCAATCCACTGATAACTGCTATCTCCATTTTGTGTATTCTGGTGATAATTGGAGAGAGAAAGACCTTTAGTGAGTTATAATCACATTAAACATGTACACTAGATCCATAAGAACCATTTTGTGATACTCATTAAAGCAATCCTAATATAATAAAACTGGAGGCCTGGTGTATAAAAATCTTGCACTCAGGGGGGTATCTTTCAGCCCAGCCTGCATCCTCTTGCAGTCTGGGAGTCCTTGGGAGATGTCCTAGTGTTGACGTAGGCCCGCTCCTTCCGGGGAGTGGGCCTAAGCCAACAGCTGGACAGCCTTAGTACAACCAAAGAGGTGGTGGAAGGTCCTGCCACCGCTCCTGCACTCACCTGCTGTGAGCCCAACTTCTGGTTGGGCGATGCTCCGCCTGTGGGAGTGCACTGACCACCAGGGGGCAACTCTAATGTTTTGCAGGATCGGGCTGAAACCAACTCTCTGAAATCCCCTGACAGGTGCCGGATTTAGAGATGATGCAGGCCAGACACAGCGACCCCAAAGGTGCATGATTGGGGGTGGGGAGGTATTTGACAGTTTGGCCAGCCAGAGAGGGACTGTGGGAAGGCGTCAGGGCCTGTCCGGCCCATCTTGCTCAGTCCTGATCAACCAGACCCCAGCAGCAAGCTAACCTACCGGATGGAGCGTCTGCCCCCTGGTGATCAGTGCATATCATAGCGAGCAATTGAGTGTCCTTAACCTATCGTTAGCATATTATGCTTTGATTGGTTGAACGGATGACCGTGCCACCAAACACTTAGTATATTAGGCTTTTATTATATAGGATGATAGACAAAATAAAAATACAACACCTTAATTATTAGAGAAAGAAGAATGAATCCTTGTTTCAAAGATTGCCAAAAGCCCAGCCAGCATGGCTCAGTGGTTGAGCTTTGAAGTGTAAACAAGAAGATCCTGGTTCCATTCCCAGTATGGGCACATGTCCCTGCTTGGGGATCGGTCCCCAGTGGGAGGCATACAGGAGGCAGCCAATGAATGATTTTCTCTCATCGGTGATATTTTCCTCTCTCTCTTCCTGTTCCTTACTCTCTAAAATCAATAAAAACACGTTTTTCATAAAAAAAATCATAAAAGATTGCCAAATTGAGCACTTTTTATTATATAGATACACTATAAATTTATACCTCTTAGAAATGATTTAATGAAAGTATTAATCCCATTCTACCTTTAAAACAATTCAAATGATTATTTCCTCTAGAGACTACATGAGTTACTAGTTTTTCTAGATTTCCTTTCCAAGATTTGGTAACAATAAAAAGTTGTTTTCAACCTTCATGTTCAGAAACACCCTTCTCTGCCAATGTAACGGACTTTAATAAGGGAGGTTTACCAAATCCAAAGTACACCTGACATGTTTAGGTAACAAGAAGTTTATTATGATAATTGTTCCAGATTAGTTCTGTTTATATTCATAGCCTCCCTTCTCATCACACTGTTCCTCAAATTCCAAGGCTTTCATTAAGTGTACATTATCAAAGCGACACCTTTTATATCTTACCAGTACTATTTCAGGGAATAAATCCTGTATTCTCAGCTTTGGCATAAAGGCTTGGTTATCTTTAGATGGAATAGCTGAAAGAAAACAAGTTTTCAGTTTTGACAAACAGGTAAGTGCACAGCAAGTATTGACCAAATGACATTTTGGAATACTCTAAGAGCCAGTGAAGAATTCAAAGAAAGCTCAAGATAGGTACAAGGAAGAAAACTCACATCAAATAGGGGCAAACAGTTGCTAACATCTGCCAATGATACCTGCTCAAACCCCCTGTCACACAATGGCAATAATATAACAACACTTCCAATTCCCAGTTGCTTTGCTGGAGATAGAGATGAGGGAAGTGGGTGTTCAATGATCTCGCTGTTTTGAAGCATCTTCAAGAACATGTGTTTGTTGTGCATGACAAAGAGTGCGAATGAAATGGCAGTACACAGTGAGTGCCCTGTTGTGGCTGCTACAAAGAGACAATGATAAATTGTTCGAGCACCACAGAGACTGCAATATGGAAGATGTGTATCAAGCCTGAAAAAGATACCATGGGTCTGAGAAAGACACAAAGAACATTTCAAATATGAAATTAAATAGACAATGGAACGAAGAATACAGGAATGAAAACAGTGTTCAATGAAAGTAGAATGTGTGCCACAGATGGTTATTATTTGTTTCCTCCTAGAGAAAGGATGTTCAAAAGCCTGGTTGTTTACAATTCCAGAATCTCAACAAAACATATCAAGTCATGCATAGAATCAGAAAAAGTGTACCATCAGATAAACAAAATGGGACTATATCAATAGCAAGATAATAATTACCTGGATAAATAACTTTGGCTGAGTGGATAGATTGTTTGCCTGTGGGCTGCAGGTTCCCTGTTCAAATCCAGTCAAGGGTACATGCCTGGGTTAAAGGCTTGATACCCACTGGGGGGACATGCAGGAGTCAGCCGATCAATGATTCTCTCTCATCATTCATGTTTCTATCTCCCCCTCGCTTTGTTTGAGAAATCAATAAAAATATATTGTAAAAAAAGCCAGGTAAAGACAACACAATAAAAGAGAATTACAGGCCAATATCCCTCATGAACATAGTTGCCAAAATCCTCAACAAAATCTTAGCAAATTGGAACCAGCAGTACATCAGAAAGATCATACACCATGACCAAGTAGGATTTATCCCAGGGATGCAAGGATGGTACAATATCCGAAAATCAATAAACGTGATACAGCACATAAACAAATTGAAAGAAAAAAAAATATTGTAAAAAAAGGAATGGAACTACATATATTAAAGCCGAAAAGGAGAAAAAAGACAACTATATAATATCACTGAAATATTATAGAACCAAAATAAAAATACAATGAGAAAGTATTTTACAAACTCCACCATGAAAGGGGAAATTGAAAAACAGAATACACGAATTAAAAAATACAGTAGAATCATTAATGAAAGACATCTTCAACATCAAAGAATTTGCCTGGGAAGAGAGGCACCAGATGGCGGAATAGGTAAACACCTGTAATCTGCTGCATCCCACAGCCACATCAAAATTACAAATAATATCCAGAACAATTATCATCCAGAATGGCCAGAAAGCTGGCTGAGTCGAGAGGTAAAGAAGAAGGTGCATTGAGACTGCTAGGAGGTGCAGAGGCGTGGAATGGGCTGGTACCCAGGTGTGCTGCTTTTTTAATTTGGAGGGAGATACAAGCTTCCGATTGCTCTGAGCTCTAGTGCCTTGTGAAAGGGGGACACAGATATATAACAAAAAAAAACTGGACTATCTGGCATCAGGGCAGGAACACGGAGGAAACTTTCTTCCAAACAGAGGTGCTTGCACCGGTCATGGTTCCTTTGCTGGGATCTCCCCGGTACACGGCTGATTGGCAGCCATTGCTGTTTGCTCCGCCCTGAAGATTCGCCGAGACCCCACCTTACCCAATTTTTTTTAAAAAATATATTTTATTGATTTTTTACAGAGAGGAAGGGAGAGAGATAGAGAGTTAGAAACATCGATGAGAGAGAAACATCGATCAGCTGCCTCCTGCACACCCCCCAGTGGGGATGTGCCCGCAACCAAGGTACATGCCCTTGACCGGAATCGAACCTGGGATCCTTGAGTCCGCAGGCCGACACTCTATCCACTGAGCCAAACCGGTTCGGCCCACCTTACCCAATTTAATACCACACCCAAGTTGTGCGCAGTGGCTTTTGCATATGAAAGGCCTGTCCATTCTCGGCCTAAAACCTGTCAAGCAATCTTCAGCTAGGTCAGGGACCTCCAAAGTGATCAAAAAAAAAGGCCCAAGAACTGGCAACAATGGCAGCCTGCCTTGCTTCACAGCTGGACCTCATCTGGGCACTTCCAAACACAATACAAAGAGAAGGAATCTGCAGATCTCTCTGCAGCTCCTGTTGGGTGCCCCAAGCAATGGCTCACTTTGCATCTCCATAGAGATCCAAGAGCCAGTGTATCCAGTGGTCAGTGTGAGACCATACCAGATGATTACTCTTCACATCCATAAGTGATACACTCAAGGGGCATACTCAGTGAGCACCAAAGCCCCAATGAAGTAAGTCCTGCCCCATAAGGCTGTCTCCTGCACAGCACTTCACCCAGTGTAGTCAAAGCTGGACAGCACTGACTATTGGCCTGGTGGTCAATTCCTCCCAGTGATGCCAACAGCAATGAAGGCTCAACTACAACAACACTGTGCACACAGCAATAAAGGGGGGCACCAAGAGTGTCTACCTCAGGTTATTGGGGACCCTGAGTCACTGGGCCCAATAGGACACCTACTACACAAGGCCACACTATCAACTCAAGGAGAGTGAGAAGCTACATAGCACATAGAAACAAACAGGGAAGCAGCCAAAATGCGGAGACAAACATGTCAGAAAAGAAAGAAATGGAAGTAAGGAAACTACTCTACATAGAGTTCAAAACCACAGTTATAAGGTTACTCAAGAATCTTCTAGAAACCTCCAAGGAACTTATGGAGCCCTTCAAGGATCTCAATGAAAATGCCAAAAAATGGAAAAGGATCAGTCAGAAATTAAGCATACACTGACTGAAATAAAGAATAATATACAGGGATTCAACAGTACACTAGAGGATACCAAGAATCAAGTCAAAGATTCGAAATACGAGAAAGCAAAACACACCCAATATGAAGATAGTGTACAAACATCCGAATTATGGGGTGACAGAAGAAGAGAGAGAGCAAGATATACCAAACATATTTGAAGAAATAATGACAGAAAACTTCCCCTACCTGGTGAAACAAATAGACTTACTAGTCCAGGAAGCACAGAGAACCCCAAACAAAAGGAATCCAAAGAGGACCACACCCAGACACATCATAAGTAAAATGCCAAGGGCAAAAGACAGAGAATCTTAAAAGCAGCAAGAGAAAGAAAGTCAGTTACCTACAAGGGTGCACCCGTATGACTGTCAGCTGATTTCTCAACAGAAACTTTGCAGGCCAGAAGGGAGTGGCAAGAAATATTCCAAGTGTTGAATACCAAGAACCTACAACCAAGATTACTTTATCCAGCAAAGCTATCGTTCAGAATTGAAGGTCAGATAAAGAGCTTCACAGATAAGGAAAAGCTAAAGGAGTTCATCGCCACCAAACCAGTATTATATGAAATGCTGAAAGGTATTCTTTAAGAAGAGGAAGAAGAAGAAAAAGGTAAAGATACAAATTATGAACAACAAACAGGCACTTATCAACAAGTGAATCTAAAAATCAAGTGAATAAATAATCTGATAAACTGGTGACTATAATAGAATCAGGGACATAGAAAGCGAATGGACTGACTATTCTTGGGGGGGAAAGGGGTGTGGGGGATGCGGGAAGAGACTGGACAAAAATCGTGCACCTATGGATGAGGACAGTGGGTGGGGAGTGGGGGCGGAGAGTGGGGTGGGAACCGGGAGGAGGGGAGTTGTGGAGGGATAAAAGAGGAACAAATGTAATAATCTGAACAATAAAGATTTAATTTAAAAAAAAAGAACACAGGTTCTGAGATTATAATCTCTTTGTCTTCTGAGAAACCACACTCCAAACAACAAGGAAACCATGAAACAAAAACACACACACACACAAAAAATGTCCAAAGCTATATGGTTAACAAATCTGTACGATAGAAGGCAAGAACACACAATAGGTAAAGACTGATTCTTCAGTTGTTCAAGTAGTTAAACAAAAATGAAACAGATACATGCAAAAATACTAAAACTAGACCCTGTTTATAGGCCGGGAACCAAACTGAAGTCAGCAAGGATTAACAACAAAAATATGACACCTGAAACCATGAAAACACTGGAAGAAAGCATACTCAATGAACTTTACCATCGCTCTTTAAAATACTGGTTTCCATATATCTTCCTAGGCATAATAAAGAACCCAAAATATAAAGAAATGAGACTACAAAAGAATAATTTTGACATATCAAAAGAAACCACAAAATAACAACAAAAACCCAACAAAGCTACAACCTCAAAAGCTAAAGATCCAAAATATATAAGGACCTCACACAACTTTACACCAAAAAGACAAACAATTATGATTGAAAATGGGTGGAGCACCTGAATACCCATTCTACGCAATACACATAATAAACGATGTTTAACTCACTCATCACCAAGAAATGCAAGTGGAGCCCTAACTGGTTTGGCTCAGTGGATAGAGCGTCGGCCTGCGGACTGAAAGGTCCCAGGTTCGATTCTGGTCAAGGGTATGTACCTTGGTTGCAGGCACATTCCCAGTAGAGGGTGTGCAGAAGGCCGCTGATGGATGTTTCTTTCTCATCGATGTTTCTAACTCTCTATCCCTCTCCCTTCCTCTCTGTAAAAAAATCAATAAAATATATTAAAAAAACAACAGGGTGGCCAATTGTGGGCGAGCAGTCAGACATCCCCCGAGGAGCCCCAGATTGGAGACGTTGCAGGACGGGCTGAGGGAAACCATCCCCCGTGCACAAATTTCATACACCAGGCCACTAATCTATACCAATAAAAGGGTAATATGCTCATTAGACTGGGAGATCTTCCAGATAAAGCCATGGTGGCGGGGTTGAGGCAGAAGCTGTTAGCCACGATCAGGCCAGGTGGGGAGAGCAGACGGGGGTGATCAGGCCAGCAGAGGGAAAAGATAGGGAGGAGCACACTGGAAGGGGGGGTAGTTGGGGCAAGCAGGCCGGCAATGGGGGTCAGTTGGGGCGAAAAGGCAGGCAGAGGGCAGTTGGGGGAAAGCAGGCTGGTGGGGGGGGCAGTTGGGAGCGATCAGGCCAGCAGCAGGGCAGTTGGGGGAGAGCAGGTTGGCACGGGGGCAGTTGCGGACGATCAGGCCAGCAGGGGGACACTTCGAGGCAAGCAGGCAAGCAGCGGGGCAGTTGCAGGCGATTAGGCCGGCTGTGGGTGGTGCAGTTGAGGGCAAGCAGGTCAGTGGCATGGGCAGTTGGGGGTGATTAGGCCAGCAAGGAAAGAAGGTGGGGGTGAGAAGTTCAGCGGGGAGGATGCGGGCAAAGTTGGGGGCAAGCAGGATGGCAGGCTGAGTAGTTAGGGGCAATCAGGCAGGCAAACAGGTGAGCAGATAGGAGCCAGCAGTCCCAGATTGCGAGAGGGATGTCTGAGGGATCCTAGATCAGAGGTTGCAGGCCAGGCTGAGGGACATCGGGCCACTAGTGTGTGTGTGTGTGTGTGTGTGTGTACCTTTATGTATGTACAGTGGTGCCTTGACATACGAGTTTAATTCATTCCGTGACGGAGCTCGTAACTCAAATTACTCGTATGTCAAATCAGTGGCGTTCACTGTGATGTTCGCTGCGCCAACTAGCAGTGGGGTATTTAAAGCGGATTTGTAACCCGAATTTTAGCTCGCAACTCAAAGCAGAAAATCAGCAGAGAGACGGCTCATATCTCGAAAAACTCGTTAGTCGGGACACACGTAAATCAAGGCCCCACTGT